CAAAACTGAAGCCAAAGCAAAGGCATTGAAGGCCAAGAAGGCGTCCTGAAGGGCATCCACAGCCAAAAACAGAAGACCCGCACATCACCAACCTTTCGGCGGCCTAAGATGCTGAAACCCTGAAGGCAGCCCAAATATCCCCAGAAGAGCGCCCCCAGGAGAAACAAGCTTGACCACTCTGCCATCATCAAATTTCCCCTGACCACTGAGTCAGCCATGAAGAAGATAGAAGAAAACAACACACTTGTGTTCATTGTGGATGTCAAGGCCAACAAGCACCAAATCAAACAAGCTGTAAAGAAGCTCTATGACATTGATGTGGCCAAGGTCAACACTTTGATTAGGCTTGATGGAGAGAAGGCCTATGTTCAACTTGCTCCTGATTATGTTGCTTTGGATGTTGCCAACAAAATTGGGATCATCTAAACTGAATCCAGTTGGCTAATTCTAAATACAAATTTATCTCACAAAAAACTGCAACCATGATGCACTTTACCTGATTTTAAACTACACAATATCTCCTTGTTCTTTTGAACAACTTACCCCTTCTTTATGTAGGTCCAGGTTCTGCATGAGTATAATTGTTCGGAGTTCTCATTTTTATCAATGTCTTCTATAATTTGTTAAAATTCACCCAGTCAAATGGCTTTGCATTGTAAATAAAGCACAGGTAAAACATCTTCTTGATATTTGCTGCTTTCAGCCAAGATCTGCCTGGTGTCATCAGTGATCTCCCTCACTCACCTCCTTCTTCCAAATCGATCTTGAATTTCTGGCAGCTCCCTGACAAGGTACCCTTGCAACCTTTATTGAATTCTCTTCAGCACTATTTTATTCCATGTGATATTAATGATACTATTTGATAATGACACATTCTGTTACATCACTTGATTAAGATGGGCACAAATATGACAACTAATAGTTGGTCGGAAATCTTCCAGAGTTATCAACATAAACAAGTGTTGAAACATAAACTTGTTGAAACATCTTAATTGATTTTTCTGTCATTTCCTGAAGCCTTGTTTTTTGCCAGTGGGTTCAGTGCAACTTGAGCTTCTCTCTGGGTTACCATCAGTTCCTGACAACATTCTACCTCCTTAAATGTGGGAGCAGTGACCAGTTCTTTCTGCTACAGTGACTCTTAAGTATTTTTTTCCCTCTTCTTTTGAGGTTTCTTGCCTCCTTCGACATTTTCCCCGTAAAATCCTCCAGTTGTACAATTTAAGATTTGAGTGGGTTTTTTGGTTGTTTTGGTTTGGTTTGGTTTTTAAGGTTTGAACGGCAGTTGTTTCTTCCCTTTTCCTCTCTCCAGGCATTTGCACATTATAATAGATCTTGAAATGTTCTTTTTGATGATCAGTACAACTCCATGCCTATTCAAATTGTGAGGGCCTGAATGATTACCTGATTCACAGTGGCCATACCAATATGCTGCAGCTCATTAAAGCCCAGGATATTGATCTTCTAGTGCCCCATTCACCTTTTCAGACTTCCGGTTTTTCTAGCATTAGGCTTCATGTTCCAAATGTTAACGGACTTCTAAAACTATTTCTTGAAGCTGAGTACTGAACGTCAGTGAATGCAGGTCCCAGAATCTTGACTCAAGGTCATTACACTCGACCCTACTTAAAGGCAGGTTTGTGATTTGAGAGCCTTCTGACCTCAGGGGCGCATCATTCAGCTGCCCGATATTGGCCCTCTGCTATGCATAAGGTTTTCCTTGGCCAGCACCTTTGTTTATTTTTTAATTTTTCAATTGAGTTTCTTTGGGGTGGGATTATTTTTATATTTTTATTTATGTATTTATTTATTACCTTTTGAGGTAGGTCTACACATCCCTTTTTTTATCTGTCCTTGTTTGGATGATCCAACGAAAACTTGCCCACTAAAGGTAACAAACTGGTGGTGTTTGATGCTTCTCAACCCCCAGACACCACAGATGACAAGCTGACAGATGGCGGAGTGATGATCTGTTAAGTTTATCACCTTGAAGCTGTTCTAGTCTGTCCTGTACAGTCACTATAAGTCAGAATTGTTGTTGTTGTTGTTGTTAAGTGCCGTCGAGTCGCAGGCGACTCATAGCGACCCTATGCAGGAGAGTCCTAGACGCTTGGCTGCCTTTCATCCTCTCTCCAGGTTTATAGGGTTTCCAGAGGCAAGCTATTATGGAAGTGGATGCCACTCCTCCTTCCAAATACTGTACATAAGTCAAAATTAAGTTTGGTTTTTTGTTTTGTTTTGTTTTTTAAGTTTTCTTTTACTATTTTGTGTGTACTGTCATATCAGATCTGGCTGAAGAGATTGTCCCTCCTTCTCCAGCAGAGAATCTGGTGTATTTGAACCGTGTACCTCTGGAATTGCAGTGCAGCTTGTTGCCACTAGGCCACCAGAGCTCTCCAGTCAGAATCAAGTTATTAATGACAGTCAGCATCAACAACAAGCCTGCAAAATTGGGCGAAATGTGCCCTCATTCAGGAACAATGTTTTCAGATTTACAGCCCCTCAGAGGCTAAGCCCACCCCTCACTCTAATTAACTGAATTAGGTGTGATTATGAAATGAGAGAACTTCGTTTTGAATTATAAGCACTCCACGATCCGTGGTTTTCCTGAGGTTGTAAATCGCAACAGGAAGTTGCTGTCCGTCTTTTTCCTATGGAGCTGCTGGTGGATTCCAGCCCTGGAGGCACGGAGCCCACGGATTAGCACCACCGCTCGCCACGGGCCACGCCACTTAGAAATGGACCTGAACTCTAGAAGGTTATTATAGCAGATTAAAGCAGAACCTGGTTGTGAGCGTTTTTTTCACTTCAGGGTTATTAAAGGCCATTTGTATATGTTTAGAGAATTTTTCATTTACTCTGGAAGAGGGCTCACGTTTGATGAGAACTTGTCTAAACACATTTGCTTTACTTCTATAGAAAGAGAAGCAGAAGTGGCATCCACTTCCTAAACAACATGCCTCTGAAAAGTCTGTGAGCTTTGATAAATGTCCATAGTTGTAGAGGGGCTTCAGGCCTTTTGTGCATAGGGTTGCTATGAGTCATGCTCTACTTGGAGGCAATCAACAACAACATATAGAAAGAGAATTACATTAAACATGGAAACACTTGGTTTGTGGCAGTAAATAACAGTCTACACAAGACACTTTTCAAAAGCTACTGTTAAGTTTCATCCAGCTTCTCAGCAATACATGCTCGACCGGGGTCTTCTGGCCCATTTACTTGGCATTCATGTCTTGTGCCTTGGAGTTTCTTGAGTTTTTAAAATTTTTTTTAAAAAATTATTTATTGATTTTAATGAAAGTTTACAGAGACTTAGGCTTTCCAGTCATTCATTGTTGCACTTTTCTCCCTATTCCCCCACCCTGATTTTTTTTTTTTAAATTTTATTGCATTTTATTTTATTTGAGCTGGCATAGATCATTTCACTTCTCAGAGGTGCTCATTGCAGGATCTATTTTAAAGATCTTTAATATTATCTGTAAAACGAAAATTTTTTTTCTGGTAAGACCTTCAGCCAGGTAGATTGGCACGGTGACTGCCTTAGTGGGCTCTAGTGCGTCAGGAAGTGGGAGGACGGCACAGGCCAGGACTGGGTTCGGATCTTTTATTCGTAGGATCACTATGTGTCATACTCAAAAGCACCTAACAACAACATTATTTTTGTCTGAGAAGGACATTGCAAGTCCTATAAGATTTGCAGTTGAAGAAAAAGCGGACAAAAGGAACATTGCACTTTAGAGACGTGTGGTTTAAATTCTTTACAGAGGAAATGTGAGGTGTGAGATTTTCTTCAAAGTAGTCTAGAGTGAGTTGGGAAGTTATAACGGTGGGGGTTATTTGCCCTGTTTTCCTCAGTCTCATAAAGGATTGAGGCTTTCCACAACCAAAATAAATGATGGAAAGGTACTGGAATGTATAAGGTATACAGTGTGAGTCATTTACAAGTCCAGCCGGGACCTGTTTGACTATTTGCCAGTATTAATCTGAATAAGTCCAGGACTATAAACTTATATCAAGCTGAAAAATAATTTTTGTTTCACGTTATATTTGGAGAAAGTCTTGGATTTCTCAGGTTTTAAAGTAAGACAAGAATGAACATTTTTTGGTTCCTACATCCTTATATTTCTTTTTCTAAACTTTAAAGGGCAACTGAAGACTGCAGATCTGAGTAAATGCAGTCATTAGTGAACGATCTCATTTCTCATGCCAAAGTGTTTGGCTTTTACAATGTCTTTGTTCTAAGAAAGGAGATCTGTTGGCCTAGTGAATAGGGAGTTGTGCAGCCAATCCCAAGGTGGGCGATTTGAATTCACCAGCTGCTCTATGGGAAAAAGATGGGTGTTCCCCTCCCATGCCATTTGTAGCCACTGAAAATTCACCGCTGGTTCAGTTGTGACTCAGCTCTGACTTGATGGCAATGACTGAGTAAGTTGTGCTAAGAAGCAACAACAACAACAAAAAAGGCAAAAAATAAATTGTTATCAGACTTTGGAAAACCAAAGCTACAACTTTCAGTGCAATAGCAAGAGTAAAACAATGCGAGTGTGGGTTCTTCTGTGCTTTAGAAGATGTTGAAGGTCAACTTTTGTGAGGTCCACATGCCACATGGGATAGCTTTAGAGTTTTGTACTATGACAGGGAAGAAGCTCAGTGGTTGTGTGCTCTACTATGAACTGAAGGGTCAGAAGTTTGAACCTATCATTGCTCTATGGGAGAAGGACGGTGTGATTTGTTTCCATAAAAATTCACAACCTTAGAAGCCCCAGGAGACAATGCTACACTGCCCTACACGATCACTAGGAATCAGAATTGAGGCAGTGGACCAACCCATGTAATTGCCTTAGTGTGCCTTTAAACTAACTCAACCTGTGTTCACACACTTTATGAGACATTGCGTTAACTCAGTTGAATCAGCAGTGGCCACCATGTTTGTCATTTTGAAATAAAAAGATAAATACAGAGGCTAATTGTCTGCTTCATTCTGTCACAATTCACAGGAAAATTACTGCAAGTCAATTCGGGTGCCAAAGAACAACTCTTTTTTGAAGCTCCAAGAGGCAAACGACATATAATAAGACCTTCAGAGGTAACCTTCATGCTCAAACTTCAAAAAAGTCATGAAAATTGCCTGTGTGTGTCTTAACGTAATGCATTGATTTCTTAACCACTAATGTGGATGAGTTACATTTAGTGTGCCTTTAAGCTTGAGGGTTTCTCAAATCTGTTTGCGTTATTTTGTTTCCTAATCTCCGTGGGAATAAGGATAGTGTAGCTCTACTAATGTAATAGTGGGTGGTCGGCTTTCTGCTTAATTATTTCCTCCCTGAAGACTGCGACAGCTGTGTGGTGTTGTTATTTTGTTCAACATGTCTTTTATGCAAAACTTTCTATAAACCTTTGATACACATCCTCTCAGTAATTCTGCAACAACAAGGGAAAATTCTTTTTCCATGATAAAAGCTATCCTCAGCTTGACCCTCTTAAGGTATCCAGACCTTCCTTTCCCCATGGCTTCAGTGCGTGGTATCCAGTTGCTGAAATGAAAACTTTGTTAAAATGTTTGGACCTACACTAACGCCTTCTTCTCAGCTCCCTTCTCAGTGGATCTCTCTTTCAGGGTCTGCACAAGGCTTGCAGGTGATGAACCCTGAGGACTGAAAGGGTTGTCTGGTTAAGCCCTGAGAAATCCTTTTGGTTAGTTTGAAACAGTCTGAGGCATTTATTTACTCTGTAGCCTTTTATAAATGAAAAGGAAATTTTGTGCCCTTAGTAGTAAATAGGTCTAAGAGTACTATGGTGGGAAAGAGGCTTTGGCAATTTGTTGGAATAAATTGAGTCCTCTGTGTAGGTAGTAGGTTCAGGCGGCCAGGATTCTCACTGTCCAGTGCCCGAAAGTCTTCCCAGAGGCATCCAGACAAGTGTCTGTTCATGATATTTCTGAATATATTTTCCTATGTATTCCGTACATGCAGTAGTTAAGAAACATAAGATTTTGTATAAAATAACACCAACAATGGTATTGTCCTACTGGAAATGCTTGTTTATTGATTGATCTCACACCCCAGTTTCAGTGTATTTACTTCTGTCAGTCTATCTTGAGAACAGCAGCTGGGACATGGAGGCCCAGGGCTGTGGGCATCTCTCTGAAAGGGCCAGCAGGAGTAAGAATAGCACAGTCCCTCACTGCCCCAGAGCAGGTAGCAGATAACGAGCTAGCAGCCCAGCCCCTGGTGCCTCGAGAGCCACACCAGCAAGAGGTTAGATATTCATTGTTGGTTCATAGTTGTGGTACCAAAAGTGGAGTTTATTTGGGCAGTAAGTTTGAGAGTGGGGGAGGCAAAGAATATCACGCAGTGCAAGTCCAGGTTTAGTTCCAAGGCACAATTCCTCAGTTGTGCCAGGCTCCTGTTTCGGCTTGGCAAGTAACTTTCTCTTCCATTACCAGGCAAGAACAGCAAAACTTAGTTAACTGTGTCCTTTAGCTCAGGGCTCCTCTGGTTACACCTTTACCGCAGTTTATTCATAGCAATGCCACAGTCTCTCCACCACTACCAGGATCTCACCACCAGGCGTCTCTCTTTCTATCTCTCACGAGGTTCTTGCTCCCTCAAGTCTTACCCATCAGTGTGGGAAGCACACTTTCTCTTATCTTAGTCCCACAGCTGCTAATAGTTTGCAAGACCAAGTACCTTCAGGTAAGATAGCTGGAGACCAGAAGGGATGAAGGTGGTGGCTAAAAAAGCCAGCTTTAGGCTAACACAGCACAGTCTTCTCTTAAACTTTATTACATAGACAAATGTCTATACCCATGAGTAAAGGAATATTCTTAAGTAAGCCGTTTGTTAAGTGTTTCTGGTGCTTTGCGTTCCTTTATTTTAATTTTCGCAGCAACCTAGTAGGATGGTGGTTCCCATTACATTTTATAGATAGGAGCTGAAGTTTCCAGGAGAGTGAAAGAGCCATGGAATTGTGACCCCAGCCTACAAGGGCTTGTAGACCCCACAACCCGCACCATGGGGTGACTCTGATTTTTACTGTCTATTTTTGTGTCATTTTACATCACGTCACCTATGTTTTCTTTTCCTGTGCTACAAAAAATCCCACTGCCATACAGTAGGTTTTGGCTCAGTGACCCCTCCACTGGTTTTCCAAGACTGTGAAACAGTACAGGAGTCTGCCTGCCTCGCTGCTGAGGATTGGCTGGTGCGTTCCAGCTGCCAGCCTTCGTGTAGGTTGACACTCTGTCATCAGGGCTTCTTTGACTAGAGCCCTAAAGCAAGCTCAACAACGCAAAATGCATCCTAACCAAACAATAGAGGAAGACAGATGCCAACTTGGGACAGAGGAGCAGTTATTACACACAAAAGAAATGTGCCAGGGGAGCTCTGGTGGCCTAGTGGCAAGGAACTGCAACTACAATCCCAGAGGTGCATGGTTCAAATCCACCAGATGCTCTGCCGGGGAAGGAGGGACAATCTCCTCCTGTAACAGTCAGATCTGATTTGATGGTACACTCACACAAAAACAATCTTAAAAAAAATTAAAAAAAAAAAAAAAGAAATGTGCCCAAACAGGGAGTTGGTGGTGTAAGGCTTCCCAAAATGGCATAGTCTTTCTCAGACAATTGAGCTGAATACATGTTTCTAATTCCAGGGGTGAGTATGTGATACTCTTGAATGGGGATTAGCACTGGCTGGTATCCCCGTGGCCTCAATCCGGGCTCTTGTCACCACTGAGTGCCCCAGATATGTGTTTAGTTCACTAGAAGTATTGTCAGCCTATTTTCAAATGAATAAGAGTGATCTAGAAAAATCTCCTTTAAAAAAAAAAGTTTATAGAAACAGCCTTGATAAAACTAGCAGCAAGATTGTCTCGCAAATTGTCACTATGAAGAATATTAAACTACCCATTTAAAATCTGTTTCAGTGGTGTAGACCACAGGGAGTTATTCTGGCAAATCAAAGGCTTCACATCTCCAGTGGTTCAAATCCACAGCAGAAAGACAGTCTCCTCCAGTTAAGATTTACCCCCTCAGGGGTGAGCGGGGTCCTGCAGACATTCAGTGGAGGTCGAGAATGCTATTAAGAATTTTTCTGACCCTGTCCAACCACACACGAACGGATTGAGAAGTTATGATACATTCACACAATAGAATAGTATGCAGCACGCAGGAGCAATAACTTTGTAAATTATGACCTAACTTGGGAGGGACTGGAGAGCATTATGCTGAGTGAACTAACTCAGTCCCAGAAGGATAAATATTGTACAAGACCTTTATTGTAGAATGAGTATAAGGATCCAGGAGGGGTGGGAGAGGCTGGAAGCAGAGGGATGTGGATGTAGAGGGGAAAGAGGGGATTAATCATTGGGTTGTACAATTTGATGGGTGGAAGGGTGAGGGAAATTAAAAGAATTTGTTTGAATTTGTATTAGAATTTTATAAATAAACTAGTAGGAAAAAAATAATTTTTTCTGGCCCAAGATGGCAATAACAGCAAGATTGAGAAACCTTTGATCTAACTTATGGCTTATATGATAAAAAGATACCTAGGTTAGAACTAAAAGAGCTTAATTTTGTTATTGTCACATCTCTCCAATTCCAAAATGTTCCCTTTCTCTAGAGAGAAACCCCTGAATCCTTCAATCTCACTATTGTGTTTAAAAGGCCCCTTAGGAGCTGTGTGTTAGGTACCTCAACATGGAACACAAATACTGGCTGTTGGCAAAAGTCATTGAGAAATACTCAGCCTCGACTAGTTTCTTTCCAATTCAGCAACCACAGCAGAAAAGATGTGCTGATGCTTTTCTCTTCTTTTCAAGATTGAGAAGATCGAGTGGGACACGTGGACCTGCGTCCTGGGCCCCACGTGTGAGGGAATCTGGCCAGTGCACAGCGACGTGACGGACGTCAATGCTGCCAACCTTACCAAAGACCGCTCCCTCTTAGCCACTGGCGACGATTTTGGTTTTGTGAAGCTGTTTTCATATCCTGTCAAGGTAATGCTGTTCATTGTAGATGATGTCGCCTCGAAGTTACAGATTTTTAAGTGTTGAAAGTCTTAAGTAATCCATAATGTTATGTATGTATTTATGGTGCCAGTGTTATTCGTGTTACACAGAAACTTTCTTGTGACTGCATTTAGTCATACGCTGAGGTGGGTGCTCACACGTTAGGATTCCTGAAGGGCCCAGCGCCTCTTAAACTGCAAAGAAACAAGCTCTTTACGGCTCCTCAGCGCACTGTCTACTCAGCTTGTATTAGCATCTTTCCAGAGATGGAGGCCTTAACTACATTTAACACAACCCTATCCATTTAATGGTTCTGTTTGTGGGGGAAAACAAAAACAAAAACTATTCTCTACATTTGGCAGAAATCTCTTGAGCCAAAATTCTGCCCTCCTCAGGCATCAGAGAATAAATAGTTGCATGTTTGCATAGGAAGATTCTGTCTGACTCCCTGAAATTTCTTTTCTCCCCACCTTATGGTGTGGTTTCTAATTCATCAATCCTATCTCAAACTGTCTCATCTAAAACAGAATTCAGTGTTTCAGGTGTTATCTGACCAACTCTGTGTATTCCAACTCAGAATCTCATCATTGTCAAGTCGAAACTGACTCCTGTCTGACCCTCCACTGAATTTTCTGAGGCTGTAAATTGCACAGGAGGAGATTGCCCATCTTTCTCCCTCAGGGCTGTTGGTGGATTTGAACCACTGGAGCGTGGTGGTCTTTGAGCTAACAGTGCAACTTTAGTCTAGGCGATTAGGCCCTCTGTGTTCACCGCTTTCAATTTTACATGTGCATTAAAGCAAACTAAAACGGTGCCAACTTTCGGCTAGCCACCCTATACCATAGATGTTGTTCCGAAAAAGCTTAGTTACAGTCCATATTAGATTTACTTACATCTCTAAAGTCTGAGCACTCTACGGACAAGTAAATTGTACATTGACATGATCTCGTTAGTCTAGCCTGTTAATATAAAAAAATATTCTTTCACAGTATTTACCTCCTCTATTAACATCATGCCATCTCTTGGTTAAAAATCCTAAGCATGAGTTAAAAGCCACTGAAAGGCAAAAAAAAAATAACCACCAAAAACCATTGGAACAATTCCAGGCCACCCCCAGGTATCCCAATTCAACACTCCGTTTATTTATCTAAACATTTAGTCAAAGTTCTCCAATAAGTAACGGATATTTCCATGTGTCCAGCTGCTCTCATGACAGAGTCGAGCCCAGTCGTTAGCAAGTTGTACTGCTAACCCAGTGACCAGACGTCTCCGGCACTTCCAGTCCTCCCAGGGAGAAAGATGGGTCGTCCCCTCCAAACCCAGGGGAGGGTCGTCCTGACCTGCCACAAACTTGACAGCTATGCCATGACACTATCTAAAAGGCAGGTCTCTGTCCCTAGTCCAAAAGAACGTCAAAAACTTGGCAGAGGTCTTGCTTAAGACCTGATCGATTGTCGCCCTAATCTCTCCTGCTAATAAATCAGCCATTAAAATTTATCTTTTCATGAGAGACCACATCGAACTCCTGCTGCCGCCTAGTAATCCCTGTGTTCTTATCTAAGTCTTTATTGACTTCTGTGTAGTAAGGCGGCCTAGAATTTTCCAGGCTCACGCCAGGTTATGAGACAGTAATTGCTAGAGTTATCTTGCTTCTCCCTTTTGGGTATAAGCACGTTTCTGTCTTTCATCTCTCCTCTTCTGTGAAGAGCTCTGGTGGTGGAGTAGTTGTAGAGCTCGAATGCTAAGCAGAAGGTGGGTTGTTCGAACCCAGCCGTCACTCCACAGGAGAAGGGTGAAGCCGACTTCCTAAGTCTAAGGATCAACAAACTCTAAGATCAACTTTTCCTACAGGGTTACTTTAGAATTACTTACTGGTGGTGGGTTTCAGTCTCCGCTTTTGTAAACCTCACGCTTTGAAGTGTGAGGCACTTGCACCCAATGTAAGTAGACTCTGGTTTAGCCTTTCTGGGTTAAAGAACATTCTCCTCAAAAAAAGGAGAAAAGTTAATCTGCTTCCAGTTCATAGTAAATCCCCTAATTCAAGAAGTGTTTCTCTATTCCTATTGTAACCCTAAATATATCTTTAAAACCCTTTTGAGTGGTCATGGTGTTGGTTTTTGTTGGTCCTCCCCCACCTTTTTCTGAAACTATGCTTAAAGGTCTGAGCAAGACTTGTATTCACCACTTAGTTGTTGCTTCATCTGTCACTGAACAAGTAGTTCCAACCTGGACTCACTGGTCCTTTCTGTGGCCACTGTTTCTGGAGGGTTCTTTCTGTAGTCTCCTTTAAAGGGCTTCTGTCTTTGCAGATTATCGTTTTGTGTGGCCTTTCCCAAAAGCCAGGGGTGTGAGTCCACCAGCTGCTCCGCAGGAGACAGTCAGCCTTCTCCTGTGCTGTTTGCGACCTCCGAGAACCCACTGGAAGGTCCACTAGGAGTCGGTTACGATTTGGTGGCAGTGACTTTGAGGGTCTTTGTTTTCATGAGCTGACGGCGTCCAGGCCTCCTGTCACTGTCCCACACAGATTCCAAGGCAGGCTGGTGACCTCTCCAGGGATCCTCTCTTTCCTTCTTTTAACCGCCTCTTCCTGGTTTTCAGAGCCATTTTTCTTGCTGCTTCTGCTTCTTATTATTGTTATTATTAATTTTAATGAATGTTTACAGAGACTTGGGATTTCCATTCATTCATTGTTGCCCTTTTCTCCCTGGTTCTTCTCCCCCCCCCCAAATAATTAATTGTTAGCAGGATGAATCAAGAAGTTAGTGATACTCTAATTTTAATAAATGAGGGTTTCTGCAGATAGTTAGGGAGCTCTGGTGGCCAAATGGGAAGAAGCTCCCAAACACACAGAGTTAGGATTGATTAATTTGCCTCTGAAAACCTGCTGGACGACCAGCTGGGGGTTGGTTCCGGCTCCAAGGTACTCAACAACAGATATTTAGGTCGTTCAGACATCCCCCAATTTTATTGCACATTGGCCCGTGCTGATGTTTGTATCCATTCACCCCACCTGGACCAGGTGACTAGCAGTGATTTTTGAACTGTGTTCTCACTCTCTCAGGCTCTAGGGGCTTCAGGGCAGCCTCAGGAAGCAAGAGGAGGGGCTGTGTGCCCCAGTGATGTAGCTTTGTATTCTGTATGGTGTTTCCAGGTCTTGTGTTTCCCAAAATTTTCTGTGTAAGACTATTTTTTCCCTGTTTTTCAAATTATGAAAATGATGAAGCACACAGGGCAGGGAAAAAAGGCTACAGTGATTTCTAAGAAACCACCTACATCTTATTTTCCATTTCATTTCGACATGCATTGTAGACAGGAGTGTGTTCTGAGCTGCCGTTGATTTGGCCTTTGACTTACCACACGCTTACGTGTGATGGATTGAGCCCTGTGTGCTCCAAGGAGCTTAGACGTCAATTGCGAGGCCTTTCTTCCTAGTCTATCTTGGTCTCCAAGTTCCCGGCAATCTGATCAGCATCATAACACAGCGACACACAAGCCTCCCCAGACGGGTGGTAGCTGCTTACGAGATGCACAGGCTGGAAATGGAATCTGCATTTCCCAAATGAAAGGTGGAGATGGGAAGCTCTGGTGGCCTAGTGACAGGAAGCTGCACTGCAGTCCCAGAGGTGTGTGGTTCAAATCCATCAGATGCTGTGCTGGAGAAGGAGGGACAATCTCTTCTTGTACCATTCAGATTTAATTTGACGGTACACACACACACACAAATCAAAGGTGGAGATTGCACTGCAGACCCTCCTGCTTCCCTCAGACATCAGGATACTGAAGAAATCCAGACACACCCTCATCAAGGCGATTTCAGCTAATGGCTCTCATCTGATTTCCAAGGCGGTTCAGCTGAACCGGAACAGACTACCTCTTCTTTCCCCTTCAGACGGGTGGGTAGGTTCAAACCGCTAACCTCTCAGTTAGTTGCCTACCCTAGTTGTTTTTACGCGCTCTGCAGTCCGCTAAGATTGATAGCAATCCTGTGACCAGCACCTCAGAACCCTGACTGTCCTGCAGCCCCTCCCTATCGCTGACCTCAAGAGCCTGGTCACCGTCACTGTGTCAGCACACCTCATCGAGGGTATGCCTGTCTTTATCTTAATCTCACCTTTCCCAGCACGGGATGTCTTTTCCCAAAGACTGACCCCACTGGACAACAGGCCCAAAGTCTAGGAAACAAAATTTCACCATCCTTGTGGCTAAAGAGCGCCCTAGTTGCATTTCTTCTGAGGCAGATTTGTTTGTTCTTTTGGCAGTCCATGTATGTTCAGTAGTCGTCTCCAACACCACACTTTAAAAGCATCAATTCTTTGTCAGTCTTCCTTATTCATTGTCCAACTTCCAGACACATTGGAAGCAATTGAAAACTCTGTCGTTTGGATCAGGCACAGCCTAATCAAACTGTTGTCTTTAGTATTTTAAAAAGATCCAGGATTACAGGTTTTCCCAGTGTAGCACATCTTGTGATATATAT